CGGATAATCAAAATCAAAACTTGTAATCAACACCAAATTAAACCAAAATAAAAAAACAATCATGAAACCTACTTCAAGAAAATCATGATTGTGGCTCCGATAAAATAAGGGGAATGGGGAAGTTAGAACCATAGGAAGGGAGAAGTGGGAACCAGATCAGAGTTTCCTCTAGGAACAAATCTGAACATGGTGAGGTCGTCGATGAGGATGGAAGTGGAGCAATCGATGATAAAGAATTTCATTGGACCCCATAAACCATCAAACCTCTGTTTTTGCTTACAACATCAAGATACATAAAAGATTACATCAAGATATCAGCCTACCCTTTCTCATCATCATTCAATTGTAGTGAACGATTCCTAGACCACCCAAAGCTCCCATCGTGAAATCTAAACCCTAGATTGTAGCAAAGATCAAAACCCTCTTTCGATAAAAAAAAAAAAACCATAGATACATCATGAACTTATAAATAAGTTATAAGAATGAAAATGAGAAGATGGAAGAGAAGGAGAACCTTCGATTATAGATTGTCGGAGGAAGAATGTGAAGGGGAAGATGGTGAGGTTGGATGTAGAGGAAATAAGAGGGTGAAGTATATGTTGGAAGGCGATGGTGAGAGGTCATCGATGGAGGAGAATCTGGGTAGCTATGGTGATTTCCAGCGAGTGTGGTGGTTTCCGATGGCAATAATCTTCCATGTCACTCCAATGATTTAAGGTTGAGTTAGAAGCGAGAGTGATACCGGGGTTAGAAGGGGAAAAGAGGGTGTAGGTCCCATGATTTTTTGTAATAATTTAAATAATAAATAACTAGAAAGGGTATATTGGTTATTTTAGTTCTTTCAAGGACTAAACACGCAAAAAAATAAACAGTAGGGACCTTTCAAGTGTAAAATCCAAAATATTAAATCTTTCAAACGTAATTCATTATCAATAATCAAGTAATTTTCAAAATCCGGTATAAAACATACTTACTATTTCTTGATCCAGTTGGTCCCAATTTTCAACACCAAATACTCTTTCAATAGGTGTTGAAATACATTTTCTTTTCTTAAATCCAACACCAACTTCATTTGGCAACTCGACTTTTTTCGCTTGTGACTCGACTTTCTTCTCTTCATACGCATCTTCTAATCGTTTCATCTTAAGTTTGTCAGTCGTTGTTGCTCTCTTGCAAATAGAAATATCACTACCTATATTGCAAATAGAAATCGAGGGATGAGAAAATTAGAAAATCATAATCAAAACACTGCAGAGACTACATTTTATACAAAGCAAATGTGCTCTAACTCTAAAATATGATCCTTGTCGGGGTTCACCGCAAATGTTACACTTCAATTTCTAACAACCGCATGCTCCAACAAGTTTTTCTAGTTTAGTCAAATAGTCTCACAATGGATGTTGGTCTATTGATGTAGTTGATGATGATCATTGTGTTTCTTGTTCTTGAGAAATCATAATCAATAGATGAATGATGATGCGTGATGGTGAATTGGTGATCGACGACGGCTGGGATATAGAAACATTTTTGGAGTTAAAAAGTCGATAGGTTTAGGAATTAGAAGAATATGTATAGCCCATTAGCCATTTTTGAAGTTAAAAAGTTCATGGAAAACCTAAAAGAAAATAGAAACGTTCACGAAACGTTTCCTGCATTCCCGATACTTCAACGAAACGTTTCTTCGACGTATCCGTTTCCAACATGTTTCTGAAACGGATATGTGACCCTCCATGGAGTTTCCGTGCATCATAGACGAATGTATATCATATTGGTAGTTATCGTGACTTACAAATATAAGTGAAAGGACCTTTAGTGAAAATATGAGATAGTTTTGTCAATTCACTTGATTATTGGAAATCAGGTCACATTCGACTTTAAGACCTCTTACAGAATCTCCAATGTAGCTGTTAGGTGCATTTCATGTACCCATTTTGTAGTTTTAATTCATAAAAGTACATTGCATATAGGCTTAAACTCATGCATTTTGCATGTTTTTCGGGATTTTTCATGAGGCAATTTCATTCAAATACTTTTGTGATATTTTAGGGACTTTTGGAGGAAGGATATTGTTGGAGGAGGTAAATAAAAGTTGCGGACAAAATTTCAGGACTTACGGAGCACCGAGGAGCAAGATATCAAAGAAATGAGAAATTTGGCTTTACAGACGTTTACACGGCCGTGTAAATGGAAGCCTTGCGTTTACGCGGGCCGTGTAAACGTAGATTTCTGCGCATTATATTTTTGCGTTTACGCGGGCCGTGTAAACGTAAATGCGGGTTTTAAAGCAGTTTTTCACCATTTTTAAAGGGGGGAACCAATTTTTTTAAGAGGGGGGTCGACTTTTGGAGTAGAGAAGGTGAATTTCTTGAGGATTTTGAAGTTGATTAACACTTGGGAACATTTGATTTCATTTTGTAAGAACTTTAATTTCATTTTCTAGATTTGTGATCTTGTTCTAGCCATGAGTGGCTAGAACCCTAAATTCTCCAACTTTATGTCTTGACATTTGGATGTGATTTCAATCATATGACTTGATGTTTGCTTTCAATTTTCTATCTAGTGAATTTGATTTTTGTCTCAATCGAATGTTTGATTCTAATTGTGATTCTTATTGGCCATTTGAATTAGGGTTAGATCATTCAAGTTATCTGATTTCTATTGAATGAAATTAGTGTAAATCTATTCACACATTCTTATGCTCCCGAGCTTATGAGGAGTATTGAGTATTGTTGGGAACATTCACATAAAGTTTAATGCAATCTTTCAACCTAATTCTAAGAGCTTGTTTAGATTAGATTGGTAAGGTTAGGATTAATCAAAGAGCTTGTTTTTGGTTAATTATTGTGGTGAACGGGAAGTGTTAGAGCTTGTTAACACTTTCAAGTACCAACTTAGATAAAATTAACCAAATATCTTTTCATCCATGGAATCACATTGCTAATTTGTCTTGCATAGAGTTGGAGTTCTCACAAATTCTGAATTTGTTTCATTTAATTGATCATTTACTTAGTGCTTTATTCTTTTGTTTAAATCATTGCATACCAACCCCCCATTTATGTGACCATTATTGTACCTTCCGCAAAAAGGTATAAACATTTGTTCCGTGTCTCTGTGGATCGACCCTACTTACCTTGTATTACATTTCTAGTACAAAGTAGTAGTGTTTAAGGAGTTATTTTACCCCTTTATTTGTTGGGTTTGACACGCTTAACAGTAGCTTTTTATCAAGCATTGTAGTATTTGAAAAAACTTTTTTATAGTTTATTTTCTTATTTTCCAAATATTACTCCAACGAGTAGTTATTAAAGCTGATAGATCGTTTTAGTTAAGATTTCCCACACATTCGTTCCTTTTTTTTGTTCACCCTGTACGTATTTTTTTTCTTCGAAAGATATAGAGGAGCCAAATTCAGTGGCTATTACCTTGTAGTAGAGTTATCGGTTTTTAATATTTTGCCTTTTTTTTAATAAGATATCAAATATCTTGAAGATGCCTCATGACCAATGGTAGATCCATAATATATATATATATATATATATATATATATATATATATATATATAGAGAGAGAGAGAGAGAGGGGGGGAATGATCATTTGAGAACTCAAAGTTTCTCGAGAATCTAAGAATTAAAGGTGAAGCGTTGGATGGAAATATTGAATGACTTAGATTGATCATGGCGTAATTGTAATTATCACTTGTTTCGATGATATCTTAGACATTTTATAAATATTTATAAGGGCAAATTAGGAATTAAAAATATCAATCATAATAATCAATTTAACAAATTAAAATAAACCCACACACACAAACACGTGTTTCTCACTTTCTCTCTCATCTCTCAGGTTCTTCACGACTCCATCATCCGCCTCCTTCCGATGAATATCTCTCCATGCGATCTTTTCGCCAAGGATACCGCCACATTGAGGATCAAATTCGACGCACAAACTAAGGATCGATGATCCATTCCATCTACCGCCTTCCCCCTCCTTCCATCCTCCATCTCTACCTGTTCTGACAAACAACAACGACTACCAATCCACGGTCCTCGTCTGACATATCAACGTTGTCAAATCCACGATCCAAGAAATCTACTTCATTCATTTTTCTCTTCGATTGCAACAATAAACCGTCAAATCGCATTGTGCATCACCTCTATCTGGCGAGGATCTTATACCGCCAATGCCTTCTTTTCCAATCGCACCTCCGACCGCCACAAACTACGCAAACACCGTCACATATGGCTCCAACCTCCACAATTCCCACCTATATATTGATTATCAAGTAAGTATCATCAATCACTTCATGATTGAATTTGTTTTCATGACCTCGATCTGTTACATTGAAATGTTGCTAATCTGATTTACTTCAGTTTATTTCTATTCTTCCAATGTTGTTTGACATAGAATACTTTTTGAATCAAAACCAATGATTTTCGTGATAGTGGAGATCTCCTTTTTCCGCTCACCACCTGTTCGCACTACTAGAAAAAAGGCCTTTTACGACGCGCAAAATATGACGCTCATTGATCTATGTTACGCAAAGGAGAGTGACATAAGAAAAATGTCATCTCTTCAAAAAATTTAAGGATAGAAGACACGCATTATTGCGCGCCCTTAAATTAGTGTCTAAAAAAAACACGGAGGGCACCTATAATAAAATGCGCGTCGTCTAAGGATGTCGCTTTATAATTTTTAATGGAACGCGCGTTCCATCCTTTAACAGTAGGGGGAAATGAAATTCTGAAAAAATTAAAAATCCCGCCTTCCTATTTTTTCTCCTTTCCCTCTTGCCCAAATTATGGACGCCCCTTCCTTCCCCCTTCCCACATTGACTGTTGCCTACTTCTTCCCTCACTTCTACCTACGGGAACCACCATATCTCCCACTCGATGTTGAAATTGTTAGAAAAAGCCCTAATTATACTCTCAAGTCTAAATACAGAAAAAATAGAAGATGGTGAAGAAGTAGCAGTAGAGGAAGTGGAGGATGAACAGTCGAAAATGGAAGGAATGGCATCAATAGCGTTGTTACTAGATGGGTCAATCTTGGGTCATTTTGTTCAGCTTCCCAAGTCCGTTTATTACCAGATGGGTCAATCTCGTCTTTTCGTCTCGACTTCATATCTCTCTGTAAAGCAACCGATGACCCCCACACCACCATCTGCAATCCTTTTAAAGCAACTCGTCTTCCTGTACCTTGATCTGCACTCTCTCTCCCTTCTCTTTTCAAGCCCTAAGCCGCCATCACCAGCATCGAAACCCATCATCTCTAAGCGGCCATGGAATCTATAAAGAGTGTTTGTCTCGTATGTTTTTATCAGCGCCATCAGACACTAATCTTCACTATCCACTATGTCGCAAGTCTCCATATGCTTTCCATCAGCGCCATTCGACGAAAAGAACTAGGGCTTTGAACCACTTCTCAATAAATTGTTCAGAGAGATCCAACAGCTCCTCTCACGCAAAACACCTTCGATTGAAGGTTATGTGACTCCTTACATCAGCGCCATTCGATTGAAGCTATTTTAGCAGACTCCGATCGCCTTCAATCCAAACTCCAATAAAAAATAGCATCTCGCATGTCTTCTCAGCTCTCCACTCCTCCATTTCGTTAGGGGCCCTGGTACCATCAATTTCAAATTGCACTTCATCTAATGCTTGTTGATTTCTTTTGGATCCGAATTCAAATTCCGTGTTCTTCTTTGGCAATTTGGAGGTGAAATTCAGGTTGTATTACAGGAGAGTAGAGGAAGGGAAACAATATCCATTACTCTGTAGGAGATTAGCTAGCCTAAACGAAGAGTTCATTTCACATAAAAGTCCAACAGGTGGGTTCGATTTCATCTCCAGGAAGAGGATTGAACAAAAACTCATCGATTATAATCAAGAAGCAGAAAGATTTGGGGTAATTCCAATTCCAGTATCATTTCAACATCTTTCAATGATCTCTAATTCTCTTCCACTTCATTTAATCTATTAACATGACTTCATTTAGGTTATGCATATGAAGAGGTAGCAGAAGTCTCACCTGGTCATCGATTCATTGCATACATCATGTATGACAAAGACAACAATTTCTTCAAATTATGTGTTAGAGATTTGAATTTAGGTTCTCTCTGTAGTAAGCCACAAGCTGATTGGGTCTGTAATGTGGCATGGGCTAAAGGGGGTCAAGGCATATCTGTATCATGAGGTTTTTTTTCCTTCATATCAGTTGGCTCTAAATGAGCTCTAAACCCTATATTTTATTTGTTTGAGAAATTTTGATTTGATTGTTGTTCCAGTCCCAAGCTGCTTGTTTCAAGAAAGCGAGAGATGATCTATACAAGGTTAAAGCATGGGTTTTCTCTCCACAAGTCAAAGTTATTAGGTGTTAGTGGGTCGAGTTGAAAATGGTCAAAATCCATAGAAAAGAACTAAAAAAAAGTTGATTTGGCTGCTGAAGAAGCTGACATTCGTGAGGAAGATGTGTTGAAGGAGAAAGATGCTTTTGAGGATCTTAAGAAGCTGGCAGCCAAGTCACTGACTGAGACAGTTAATCAGTTGATTGACACTGTTAATCAGGTGAGAATCATATCTTTTTTTTATTTATAATGCTTTAGAATTTTTTGAGGGGTAAAATAGTAATTTTGTTTAATTTCGATTTTTAGGTGAAGGAGGATGAAAATGCCGAACAGGCGACCCGAACCATCAAGAGTCACTGATGCGGTCAAACATCGGGCGACCCGACCACAACAGATGACGTGAGGCATTGGATCGACTTCTTGAAACAAATAACTTCCCAGAGTTCACGGGCAAGGTTTGCCCCGTTCCATGTGAAGGTTCATGTGTGTTGGGTATAATTGAGAACCCGGTCTCCATCGACGGTTAGTTTTCTTAAATTTTTTTTGAAAAAAAAATACCCGAACATATGTTAATAAAATTAAAAATTATACGTTGTTTAGGGACAAAATCGGTCTGGTGCACCTCTTAAAGCTGCAGACAATGTTATTATCTCACAGCATCAGCATGCAGCAGCCTCTCAAATTCAGGCAAGAGAAACCGATATACATGCACTCTCATTGAGTAAAAACGAGACAGGTGTCCCCATGAATGTATCCGAAAGCTTCAAAAAGGAATATGCAATGGTACTATTACAGCTCAAAGAAGCTAGTGATCAGGTATCATTTATTTCATAAATAATTATTATCATATATATTTACAAATTACAACTTAATTTTAACATATAATCTTAATCAGGTTGCTTCTGCTCTTGCAAATTTGAGGCGACGCAACACATACCCAGAGGTTTGTGGGGTTTTCTTTTTTGTTATTCTTTTCTGATAAGCCCCATGGACTATTAGTTTATGGTATAAGGGCTTGGAAACCCAAAGTCTAATCTTCTGCAGCCTACTTCCAGAATTGGTGTATGGAGGGCAGTTTGGTCTTTTATTTATTTTAACAGTTTAGAGTTAGTGGTGAGACAAAGTAGTGGTGATATCACCTTGCTAGCTGTTATTCCCTTTTGTCCTTTTCTTTAGTAGTAGCAGTATATATATAGTAGTTAGTAATAGGAGTGAGATAGCGAAGAATTATTATGAATTGAACTTTGTTCTTTCTTGGAGATACCCACATCTCGAAAGCTGGGAATTATCTTAATATCATCACGTAATTAGATCAGGGGTTAAAATGCCTGGAGTTTATGATAGATTCAACAAGGGTCTATCATTTTCCCTTGCAATTTAATAGGTGTTTATTAATGTTGTCCTTGACATATTCATCGTAATTTTATTTGACAGAAAAGAGGGATTTTGAGGACGAATAATCGACTTCCTCTGCATTGTCTTCCTATTACTTTGGTTTGTACAGTAAGTATATTCAGTCTTCCTTAGATCTTCTGTTAAAATAGGTAACATAGAAGACTTGCAACTTATCAACATAATATCAATAAAATATACGTTGTTTGATTGTTGTTTCCATCCACAATAATTGAACAAATTTCCAAATTGGATGCCCTATGCGAAATGCAGATTTTGAGTTTAAATTATCAATTTACCCTATTATTATCATTAGGAAGTCTTTCTGTTCATTTTCATTTTTTTTATCAAACATAGTCATTGGAAACATGAAGAACCTTTAAATGACAGGTTTCTATCAGAGTGGACTTACATGACTGGGTTCTATTTGTATTGGTGCTGTTTTTCTCTTTTTCATATAAGAAATAATCTATATTGGAGACTTTCTTACCTGTTTAGGGGTTAAGCTCCTTTAGAGGTATTGATTTTGGGGAAGAATTTTGCCAATGTTCACGGAGTGCATTAACAGCCTGTAGTGAGTTTTATGTATAATAATATAATATATTTCAGTCACATATGGCAAAAAGAGAAATAAAATAACTAAATAAAGATATCTGACCTGTTTATTATTAAATGATTTATTTCCATTTATCCTTGATGCCAGTTCAAGAAATTCTTTATCTTCTGATTCATGAACAATTTGAAGATTATGACCAGAAAACGAAACAGAAATATTCAGTCTCTTTTGCAGCTCTTAGATAGCTGAACCTTCCATGTCATTTTCCTGAAACCATGTTTTACATATGAACACTTGTGTTTGTATTATTCATAAACGAAAGGGTAAAATGGTCATTTTGTCACGTACAGACAGTTTGGCTTATTTACTCTAAAAAACAAACAGGAAAGCATCATTATTTATTCAGCCACTGTACCTTACAAGTACCTAATCATTTTTTGGACTCAGTAGGCCACTAAATTTGTTTTTAAGTGTACTCTAATTGAATTCAAAAAACCGATTAGGGACTAAATGAGTCAAAAAGTGAAAGTTTTTGTTGCTGAACTGATACCTTTGTTTCTTTATAGGTAAAAAAAAAAAACTGTGAAGAAAGATACTTCTTCTGATGACAGTCTGATATGCGAGTAAAAAACACCGTGGATCAACTGTCAGGGAGAAATTGAGTAGGGATTGTCACCTACATTCTGAAGGAGAAGGAGAAGCAAAAAGAGCTTCAATTACTTACTGCATAACCTACATTCTAAATTGCATCACCAAGCATTCACCTCAGTACATAATTCTAATGGTGGGGCGTATATTGAGAGGGATTGCCACCTCTCTCCTCTTTTCAGCCTTCGAATCATGGCTTGTTGCTGAACACAACAAGGTGAGATATAATATTACATTTCTAAATACACCCTTTATATTGTCTATGGTTCTAATGCAT